CACTATTTTTGGGCTGGTTACACACTGTTTTTTGGGTTGATTAAGTGCTGATTTTGGAGCCTTTAAACACTATTTTTGAGGCTGGTTACACTGTTTTTTGGGGTTGAATAAGTGCTGATTTTGGAGCCTTTAAACACTGTTTTTGGGCTGGCTACACTGTTTTTTGGGTTTGAATAAGTGCTGATTTTGGAGTCTTTAAACACTGTTCTTTGTGCTGGTTAAACACTATTTTTGGGGTTGAATAAATGCTGATTTTGGAGCCTTTAAACACAGTTTTCTTTTGGGTTGGTTACACTGCTTTGGGACTGCGGTTATGGGGCTTTTGTTTACGGTTTGGTGTTGGTTTTGTGGACTTTTGCCCACTGTTTTGGAGCTGCGACTAGGGGCTTTTGCTTACAGTTTCAGAGTTTTGGGGGACCTTTGCTTATTTTTTTGAGTCTCACTTGATTACTATTTTGAGAAAATTTAAGCACCTTTCTTTTTTTAAGCTGATCCACTAAGTTGTTCCACTTCCCCTAGTCCACTGATTTTGGGAATTAAGTCCACATTCTCTCTTTTCTCTTTGATTCATTTTCGTTTCTTTTCTTTTCTTCGCGACTTAGTTTATGTGCATATATTCTAATATAAGTGCATATAGGGTAGAGATAGGTGAATCACCAAGCAGGCCTATAAGTTGGACGGTTCGGGGTTCAAGGGCGATGATGATAAAGGCATCTGCTAATAAAGCAGAATAATATTGCATCATCTGACCCAAGGACCTGATGAGAATGCAGAATGACAATATTATTCACCGGCACTAGACTAGCAATGAACCTTGCTTTCGACTCGTAATTTTTCACCGGCACTAGACAATGCAATGAGAATGCAGAATGAACCTAGATTGACACTAGAATGCAGAATGACAATATTATTCACCGGCACTAGACTAGCAATGAGAATGCAGAATGAACCTAGATTGCTAGTAATTCTAGCCCGTCAATGTAATCGACTCGTAATTTTCAAAATATATAAATATAATAACAAAACAAATGCATTCTTCACAATATCAATACTTTTGCTTGCTAAATAAAAATCTATTTAGCTTACATGCATGATAAACTATGAACTTTGAATAATATAATTTTAATGTCCTCTTGTCAGTTACCTGCATTGGGTCAAAAATTGCTCTCCTTTGATTGTTTTGTTGGAAATTTTTAATTGACTGTTGGGCTTTATATACGTCGAGGACCGATGGTTGCCTATGGAATCATTCGGGATAAATTTGAGCCTAGCCCGAGCTTGAATTCTTATACCTCCCGCCTCAATTTTCCACATGTGTGCCACCCAGTTTGCTCTACATATTTGTTTTTTCTTTATGTTGTTATTCAATTCTTTGTACAGATATGCATGATATATTTATAATACTAACCCTTTTGCAGCAACGGCAGGAATCCCAGGTACACACATGCATTTTATTTTCTTTATTGTGTTTTTTACATTTTACTGTATTTTTACTGCACCTCTACCGTTATGTTTTCCTACAAAACTTGCAAGACCTTTAGGGTAGAGAACAATAGGCTGGTTGTTTAGGAGGTACACTACGATGGGCCACCGAACAAACAAATTTACATGCTCACAAATAAAACTCTAAACCCAGAGTCGCTGCGTTACGGAGCTCGAAGCTCGGAGCAAGCTTGGTGGCAGCACGACGAGGCAAGGAAGTGAAGAACAATTTCAAGAGACTCAACATATGAATGAATCTACTCCTACTAAACAATTCCTTAGGTTTTAAAAAATAACAATTCATTGGACTTCGAGGTAGCTCGCCCAACGTGACGTAAATCCTCACGCCCTCTTTAGTCCCCCTGCACAACCATGTTGTGCATCATAAGTCCTAACTTTCTGTAGGTTCTGAGGTTGTCGTTCGGTACGACGTAAACCCTCATATTATGCAAATATAAGTCCCAAATAATAAAATTGGCAGGATTTGAACCAAGTGTAAGTCCCAAATAATAAAATTGGCAGGATTTGAACAAAAATAATATCGTCTCCAAAACGCAGTCAGACAGTAGGATAACTTGGGAAGTCACTGGGGGTTCTCCTCAGGATCTGTGACGTCCCCTATATTTTCCTTCTTTTGGATTCCTGAAATTACTACTCCCATTTAGTCCTTTCTCACTTGATTTTTCGCGTCCTATCATGAAAATCTAAACATTGAATTTTTGAAGACTAGTGCCCTGATCATTATCGAGAGTTTTCTCAAGTGACATCGGTCGTTTATGATATAATTAACTATACGGGTTTGTTCTCTATAGGAACTTGGAACCCACATAAAAATAAATTCTATTTAATCCTTGCATTAGGTAAGAGAACTTGTCGGTCACACATAAAATGTTCACAGATCATATGAATGTCATAAATTCTTTAGTTTATGTAATTGAGCCCCTTTTTCAAGTAATGTGCTTATTTTTCTGGATGAGCGTATTGTTTGTAGGGTTGCGCTCGATTACTTAAAATATTAAATATATGTGATATATACGGTCTCATTTTTCAAAGTCAAAATACTATTTTTCAAAAAACTAAATTATATACATATTAAACTAAACTTTAAATACTTTCAAAAGTTGGCCGACAGAGATACGTGATTAAGGAAATAATTAAGGTTTAAATAAACTTTAATTTATTTAATTAAACTTATAAGTTATAATTTTAAATTTATAAGTTATACATCCTTGCATAACGTACTTGCAAACACTCATGTAATAGTCTACTCATTACATTCCTTGTGACATTTCTTAAGGTATGATATGTGTAGCAAACATTCATAACATTTCATATATTACATATATGAATCATAATAAATGAATACCTACAGATAATTAATATCATATACATATGTATATATATCATAACATGATCATAACATAATAACATCAAATGTATCATAGGAAGAATTTAGCTTACATTCATACATTTAGTGCAGATATTCATATGTTATATGCAGAAATTTTTAAATGCATCCGTGTCAAACGAGGATCATATGAAAACCTATAGAATATTATTTCTCATACGTTAGCATAAGAGTATTTCACCTGACTTTTTTGGAGCAGCCTATGACAAGCTCCCTCACGCTTGCCTTGAGCTCGACGTGTTGTGTAAACAACCTAAAATTCTTAGGCAACCTAGGGTTTCATAAAAATTGGTTCATTCTGTGCATCAACACAAAACATGTCTTAAATGCCAACTCATACCTCAAACGAGCTTCTCGGTATAACCCAACCTTTTTCCGATCCGCCTAAACTTCTCCTTCCTAACACCTCAATCCTCCCTTCCCCTTTGCTGATTTTGTGCTAAAGCTATTACAAAAGCTCGCAAACCAAGTTCGACACTTCCTACAAAATTTTGATTGCTGCTACGACTATTGGAAACAAAAAATTGCACAAAATCAAGACCTTCGTCAAAATGAAGGTGTGAGGAAGGAATGGAATCCCTAGAATAATGTGAAACAAGGTTTCACACTTACCAATTCCTCCTTTGATGCCCTTATTGTGAGTTGCGGCTTCCTTGGTGCCGCTTGGTTCGCGCTACATACTACAATGGCCTAAGCGTAGCTTCAAGTGGGAACTTGCGGGATTTTTCAGACGAGCGAGTGAAGTGAGGGAGGGGTTTCATGCGAATGAAACCAAGAAATAGAAGAGGAATCGAAAGCACTATAGGGCATTCGAATAAAATTAGCACTAAAAATCGTGTGAATGACTGTTGGGAACAGTAATCATGCAGATCAGGTAGAAGATTAGAATTAATTAAGCTTTTAATTAATTTAATTATACTTCTAACTTCTAAATTTTATCTCCCAATAAAAACATAATTAATATATTGTGTTTTATATGAAATTGATCATTTTCATGCGTAGAATTTTATAAAAACAATTTATGGTGTGAAATTTAGGATACTTTTAAAATTTACTGAATTTTACGTGGTTTTCAAATTTTGGTTATTACAAGCACAAGGAGGGATTTGGCAGGTAGGAAGTTGAGGAGAGCTTGCAGGGAGTATTCCACGACTGAAATAGAAATATAGGGCTATTCCTAGCTGTTATATCATGTGGAATTTCAGAGAAACTTTCTTAGAGGAAAAACTCTCTAGTTTTTCATTTGTTCTAATAGAAGCAAATAACAAGTATATACACAGCTCAGACTAACCTTAATACTGTTGAAGGGAAATTCAAAAAACATATGAAAAGAAGGAAAGAAATTAATCATAATAATGGATAATTTAGGGAGAGTAATTCTCGCCTCAAATGTGGCAGTTGGCCCCCTGGTTTCCTAAACAATTGGTGGGCTCATTTGGTCCATGGATGCATGCATATCAACAACTTCTATATATCCTACTTACCCTTTAGTTAATAAAAATGTCATTTTGCTTCGCTCTTCGCTCTTTGCTCTTTGAAGCTACGATAAAACCTTGAACATTGCATTTTACTTTGCGCTTTGATAACACTTCTCTTTACATATATTATCCTGTAATAGCTACAAAGTTAAAATGCAATAGAATAAAAGCTTTTATACAAACATCATATTCTATTTATCCACTTTTTTTAATAGTTAAATTTAATGTAGATCATCATCCTTTTGCAGTTCCCAATGTCATATTTATTTAGCTAAAATCTATTTTAATTCTCAACCATTCAAAGATATCTTTCCAAAATGATGAGAGCACCCATCCGAGAGTGGATGTTAAAGACAAATCATAAAACTAACCCAATTCCATATGATTGAGATAAATAGACAGTCTGGTTACTAACACTGCTATGTTTTTTTGTGAACATTGATTCTTGTATATATATTAGAACTTGTTATTGGGATTTTAATATAGATATTCGTTTTGTGCATTTGATTTTTTTCATGATGGTGATGATAATTATTATCATCTTGATGACTTATATTAATATTTCATTCTTAAAAAGCCAAGTAGCGATTAAAATTTTAATTTTTTATAATTAATTTTCCTCGCATATACAGATAAGCTGCATCCTTGAATTTGATGGTTCTTCTAAAGGAAATCCTGGGAAGGCTGGTGCTGCAGCAGTCCTACGCAATGGAGATGGGAGTTTGGTAGGCATTTTTTGCATTTGTTTACTATCCAATCCAATAGCACTAGTAATTTATTGTCATATTAATTATGAATTAAAGTTTTCCTGATGGCCAAGTTCTTAATCTTTTGGATTAAGGTTTCTTGTATTCGTGAAGGCTTGGGCATTGCAACAAATAATGTGGCAGAATACCGTGCCTTAATTTTGGGGATGAAATATGCTCACATGAAAGGTTTTAAGCATATTCAGGTGCAAGGGGACTCTCAACTAATATGCATGCAGGTGTGTCTTCAATCTCTTATTTTTGCTACAGTCATTGATAATATAAGTATTTTTTTGGTAAAATTATTGTTAATTAGCAAAATCGATATTCATTTAAATATTCATGGATAATTCTTATTAGTTTGAAACTCAGAAAATATCACACCCTATTTTGACCCTTCTCTATTAAGCATGATACATTACAAGGAAGGAGAGTCAATTTAGACAATTATTATCAACATCTGCCCTAACTTCACCAATCAAATTCGAGTAAGTAAAAAATTGGCCTGCCGAGATCATCAGAACAGTACGCTTTATGCAACAAAATCCTCTAATCAATCCATCAAAATATATTAATATAAAGGCATGCCCAATTTAAATTATCAAAATGAACTACAAAGCCTTTAATAAACAACATAGATAATTCATATATAGAGAAATCTTTTATTTAGCTATGAATCTAAAATTTATGACAATGCTCCCAGTATGCGCCTCTACTTTTAAACAATTGTGGTCATAATAACTGATGAGCTCACTGCTTAATGGAATAAATAATTGTATTTTATGGTTTAAAATAAAAAATAACAAAACGCCTGTTGAACTTTTGAACTGACATGAGCATTTATTAATTATAAACATATCTAGCTATGTACAATAAGTTTAAATCAGGAGATGTTTTAATAATTATATAACTAAAGGGCATAGTCATAAGCAGTGAACATAATTGTTTTTAGGGAAGTGAAATATATCTTTGTTAGTCTTAAATCATTCAATATGATTTGTTAGTCCATTGTTGTATAAAATTACTAGCTTTATTTTCATTTTCTTTTTCATTCATGCTAGTCATTGATATAGGAGTTAACCCAAACTCAAACCACAGTAGAAAAACAAATAATATTACTAAAAGCAAATAAACGATTACAACCAACACGCTTGAAAGGGAAAATACAATAACAAGACACTAAAAAACATCACTAAAGTGTATCCCAAGACAGTGAAGGTTGATGAGGTTGATCGGAATGGCTGAAGGGTGTGGCGGCAACAAATGAATGCTGGTGGTAGCGAGGGGGAGCTATGAAAATGCAAGGACAACAAGTATGATTGCTATCCTGGATAGTGGCAGTGAGGCATTGTGGTGGGTAGCGGTGGACTAGCAGGAAATAGGTGTTCCCTTGCTGTCCTGGACGACAACAACATGGTGGGAGGGTTGGAACAACAGGAAAAAGGGGTGGTTTGGGCAGCAACAATGTTGGATGGGTGGGAGAGGTGGCTGGGAGGCTGGAGGCTGGAGGCTGCTGGCTGCATAAAAATAAAGAGAAGGGGTTTTCTGGGTGGCGGCAGCAGTATAGGATGGGTGGGACGGGGCGACCGCAAAGCGGGGGGGG